CTTATCCCAACATCCAATTCATGATCCAACCAGTAATCAGATTGATTATTTTACATGCATATCTAATCATGTTACTCTTTTTCAGTAGCTTCAGCCAGTACCTCCCCTCCCCCTTCCCCAGCTTCACCTTAAGCCATTCCTTCTCTTCTCCTGCTGTTCTAACTACAAGGGCCTTCAGCCCCTGAAATGCATCAAACTTCAGTTCAACTCCAATGCTTTTGCATTTGCTATTCTCTTTGTACGGAACTTTCCCTCTATTCATCACTTAACTGGTTCTTATTCTTCAGCTTTTAAAAGCCATATCTTTAAAGAAAGCCTTCTTCGAACCCCTAGACTAATTATGAATCCCTTGTACTATCTTTTCATAGTCCCCTGAGCCTTTATTTTCAAACATCCATTACAACTTTGTGTAATTATTTCTTTTCATTAACAGTCTTTTCTTAAAGAACATCTTTAAGTTTACAGAAAAATTGAGCAAATAGTCCACAGAGTTTCCATACACTCCCTTTGCCTTACACACAATTTTCCTTGTTATTAATATCTTGTATTAGTGTGCTAGATTTGTTACCATTGATGAACCAATACTGATACAATATTAACTAAAGTCCATAATTGATGTCAGAGTTCATTCTTTGTGTTGTATGGTGTTTTCTGTTCTGTCACCAACTGGATGTCCTAGAGTTCAAATCCCTTTTGACACTGTCTACCTAGAATTAGTGTCAGAGCCCACAAGGTACAGAACAGAACTCCAACAAAATTGCCTTTATTTCGGACACCGGCTGCAAGTGGGGTTCTCATGCTACCTACACTGCCGTACCACTTAGTTACAAATTCAAAGGTTCCCATAATCCCTCTTCAGGTTCAATAATTAGCTGGAATGACTCATAGAGCTCTCTGAAAGCATTATACTTATGATTACAGTTTTATTATAAAAGATGCAAATTAACAGATAAAGAGGTACATAGCAAGGTCTAGAAGGGTCTCAAGTGCAGGAGCCTGTCTCCATGGAGTTGGGGTGCACCACTCTCTCTGGTACATACATGCATCCACCAACCAGGAAGCCTTCTCGAGTCTTGGTATTCAGAGTTTTTATTTGAGGTTTCATTACATAGGTATGGCCAACTAAATCATGAGCCAAATGCATGAACTCAAACTTCATGCTCCCTCTCTGGAGGTTAGGGTTTGGGGCTGAGCATTCCACTGCTAATCACATGCATGATGTGTCTGGTGACTAGCCTCCTTCGCATTCTAGGACCCTGTCCCTCACTGTCTGTAAGCTACTCATTAGCATACCAAAAACATTCTTATCAGTCAGTATGTTATAAGGGCTTTGGAAGCTCTGTGATAGGAACCAGGAACAAAGGCTATCTGTCTCTCTCTATAAATATATGCACGTACATATAATTATTATTATGCCACATACTGTCCTATGGTTTTTGACAAAAGCATGATGTCATGTATCCACTATTATAGTATTATACAGAATAGCTTCACTACCCTAAACGTCCTCTGTGTTTCACCTGCTTATCCCTCCCCATCTCCCTCAACCCCTAGAAACCACCGATCTTTTTACTCTCTCTATAATTTTGCCTTTTCCAGAATGTCATATTGTTGGAATCACACATGATGTAGCTTTTTTTTAGACTGGCTTCTTTCACATAGCAAAATGTCTTTAAAATTTTCCGTGTGTGTGTGTGTGTGTGGTTTTTTTTAGAGATGTGGCCTCACTATGTTGCCCTGGCTGGTGTGCAGTCTCTATTCACAGGGCCAGTCATAACACACTACAGCCTCAAGCTTCTGGGCTCACATGATCTTCCTGCCTCAGCTCCCCAAGAAGCTGAGACTACAGGTACATGCCACTGCATCCAGCTTTCCCATGTCTTTTTATGACTTGACAGCATGTTTTTTTTAAATTGCTGAATTATATTCCATTGTATAGAAGTGCCACAGTTTGTTCCTCCATTCATCTACTGAAGGACATCCTGGTTGTTTGGCAATTGTGAATAAAGCTGCTATAAATATTCATGCACAGTTTTTGGTAGGACATAAGTTTTCAACCAACTGAATAAAAACCTAGGAGCATGATTAATGGTTCATATGGGGCAAGACTATGTTTAGCTTTGTTAAGAAACTTCCAAATTACCTTCCAAAATGGCTGTACCATTTTGCATTCCTACCACCAATGAATGAGAGCTCCTGCTACTCCACATCCTAGTTGGCATTTGGTATTGTACATGTTTTGTATTTTAGCCCTTCTGAAAGGTGTATAGGTGTATAGTAGTATATCTGTTTTTTTAATTCCCTAACGTTACACAATGATGAGCTTCTGTTCATATACTTAATTGCCATCTATATCTTCTTTGGTGAAATGTCTGTTCAGATCTTTTGCTCAATTTTTAATTAACTTGTTTTCTTATTGTTGAGGTTTAAGTGTTCTTTGTGTATTTTGAATACAAATCTTTTTATCACAAATGTCTTTTGCAAATATTTTCTCCCAGTCTATAGCTTGTCTTCCCATCTTCTTGACATTGTCATTGACAGAGCAAAAGGTTTTCATTTTAATAGTCATTTTTTTTCTTACGTGAATTGTGCTTTTGTTGTTGCATTTAAAACCTTTTTGCCAAACCCAAGGTCACCAAGATTTTCTCCTGTGTTATCTTATAGAAGTTTTATAGTTTTGCATTTTGAATTTATATCTATGATTCACTTTAAGTAAACTACTTTTTTTTTTTTGAGACAGGGTCTTGCTCTGTTGTCCCAGCTAGAGTGCAGTGGTGTCATCACAGCTTACTGCAACCTCAAACTCCTGGGCTCAGGTGAACCTCCTGCCTCAATCTCTTGAGGGACTACAGGCCCACACCATGACACCCAGCTAATATTTCTATTTTTTGTGGAGATGAGGTCTCACTCTGTTATCTCAAACTCCTGGCCTCAATCCTTCCACCTAGGCCTCCCAAAGTGCTAGGGTTACAGGCCTGAACCAATTCATCTGGCCTCAAATTAACTCTTATGAAGGGTGCTAAGTCTATGTCTAGATTTCATATTTTACATGTAGAAGTCTAATTGTTCTAGCACCACTTGTGGAGAACACTATCATTTCTCATCGAATGCCTTTGCTCCTTTGTCAAAGATCTGTTGAACGTATTTGTGTGGGTTGATTTCTGGGCTTTGTATTCTGTTCCATTGATCTATTTGTCTATTTTTTTGCTGATACTGCACTCTCTGGATCACCTTAGCTGTATTAATAGTAACTTTTAAAGTTTAGTAATGCTATGGACTGAATGTTTGTGTCCTTCCCATTGAAGATTGAGAAGGACACCTTGATCTTGGACTTCCCTGTCTTTAGAATTGTAAGAAATAACTTTCTGCTGCTTAAGCCCCCCAATCTATGATAATTTGTTATAGCAGCCTGAACTAAGACAGGTACTGAACTGAGACATGTACTGACTTTGTTTCTCTTCTTTGGTATTGTATTTGCTCTTTTGGGTCTTTTGTTTTTTCCACATAAACTTTAAAATTGGTTTGTTGATATCCACAAAATAACATGCTGGGATTTTGATTGAGATTGTGTCAAATCTATAGAATAAATTGGGAAGAACTGACATCTTAACAATATTGAGTCTCCCTATACATGAAGGTAGAATATCTTTTGATTCATTTAGATATCCTTTGATTTCTTTTATTAGAACTTTGTAGTTTTTCTTGTATATCTTTTACATATTATATTAGGTTTATACCTAAATATTTCATTTTGTTTGGGGGCTGATGTCAGTGATATTGTGTTTTAAATTTTAAATACTAATTGTTTATTGCCAGTAGATGGGAAAATAACTGACTTTTGTATATAAGTTGAGTATCTTTAATCTGCTGTGTAATTATTATTTTTAAATGTCTATTTCATCAGCTAAACTATAAGCTCCTTGAGGGCAAAGTTTTCATTTTATTTAGTTCTCACCTCTTTTATGCTCAAATTTTTGCTAGCTTTACTACAGATTCAATAATTGTGGCACTAAATAATTTAGCTAGAAATAAGCCATTTTGTTAAGGACTCTGTTGTCTTCCTTGGCAACTAGAATTACTCTTAGGTAACCTGTGGCTCAATTTCTTTGTAACAGGATGTTGCATCTACTTTATAAATTGAATATAAAGATCACAGAAGACTATATATATATATATATATTCTTCAAACAATACCCGGCACATACTAAGCCCCGAAGAGCGGAGAGCTGTCATGTTTTGGTATTAGGATACAGCTATTGCTTTTGTGTAGTCACACACACAACCGTCAACAGCCAGCGGACAGAGTAATACAAGGGAAACAAAAACATTTCTAACAGAAAAATAGGGCAGCAGTTGCGAAGGGGTAGCGGGAGGAATATTTCTGAGCCTGCGGTGCGGGGGAACAGCGCAGGGATAGCGACAGTAGGATAGCAGTGGTGGAGAGGGGAGGCTGGGCAACAAGTGCCCAAAAAGGGGGCCCGAGTTCTCCAGACCTCTTTGTATTGGAGGCGGTGGGAGCCAAGGACCCAGAACGGAGATACCCATTCGGCTCGTGGGCACACACAGTCGGGGTGAGGAGAAGGTGCTGAGCATAAGCTCGGGGGAGCGGTGCACCCCGGGGCAGCGCACCTTGCGGACGGCAGGGGCCACGCTTTGCCCCACCGTCCCCGACCTCAGCTGCAGCAGCAGGAACGACCCCACACCCCGCCCACATTTCCCCCCTACCCCCCCGCCCGTTACCATGGGGACCGGGTCACCTGACCGGGTGCGCGCGCCTGCGCGGGCGGAAGGAGGGGGTGGTGCGGTGACGCGCCTGGCGGGCGGTCCTGGGGCGCGCGCCGCTCGCTTCCCTCCGGCCTCAGAGGTCGGTGCCAGAGGCCGTAGGAGGCGGCGGCGAGCGGGTCTGTGCGGTCCGGGTGAGTGGTGCACGGGAAGGGCGGACGGACGGACGCCTGTGCCGGGGCCCGGGCGCAGGTCAGAGGTGCGGGGGCCCCGGCCGCTTAACCGAGAGCGTCCGGGTCCGCAGCGGTTTTGGGGAGGCGGCGGCGGCCTCTTCTCGGGGTTGAGCGCGTCCCGCTGAGCCGGGCTGGGCCGCGGGGCGGTTGCGAGGCGGCGCGCTCCGCCTGCTCGCGATCCCGCCGGCGTCGCGCCGCGGCGGCCGGGGGCTGGGGCGCGCTGGGCAGCGCCCGAGCCGGCCCGGGGGCACGCCGGCAGCCCCGCGCGGCTCTGGACCCTGCCTCAGCCCGGTCTCGGTCGATGCTGGTGGTTCCTCTGCGATGAGATCTCGAGACAGCAAAAAAAGAGCCTCGGGCCACGGTTCCTCCTCCCGCTGCCCGCGTTTCTTGGGCCGTACTTGGTCGCCTTCCTTGTTGGCTCGCTCTGAGCGCCCTGCGTTTGGAAAGGGGAAGGAGGTGTTTGTTTAGCGGGCGAAGCCTTGACTTTTTTGAAAGGGGGTTGGGGAGAGGTGGTTCGCTCTGTGCTTATTTCTGGAAAAGTTGGAGCCGAGGGCAAACCGTTTCCAGTAGGGTGTGTTCACAAGGAAATGCCTCTTGAGACCTGGTGACTCAGAGCTTTCGTTTCAGGATTTCCTTGTATTAATAGGAAAGTGAAGGCATATGGGATTATTGAATCATAGAGTGTTCTGATGTGCCCGTTTTTGAAGAGTTTCTAAGATTGTCTAATCTGCATGTATTACCCACATACACATCTACTGTTATTTTCCCCATTAAGTCCATTACTTAGAAAGCATACTCGGTTTACTAAACTCTGAACATCTGTTTGTTTCAAAGGGAAAACAGTTGATTAAAAAGAGAAAGTTACACTGAAAAGCTGCTGCAGACCTTGTAAATTAGATTGATTTTTAAATGTGTATGTGAGTAGTTAAAACTCAAATTTGTCCAGTCTTTTCATTTTCTCATTTGAGGTTGAGGGGAACAGTAAAAAATTTATTTTTTCATATTCTCTGTTACCAGCTTACATCTATAAACTTCTGTGCCTTAAATAGTACAGAAATATCTTAGATCCAGTAGTTTGTGGCACAGAATAAAAAATAAACAAGTAGAAAGACTTTGAAAAGGTTTAGTAGTCACTACATTATAATCTAAATTGAACATTGGCAAATTAATTTTTATTTGTGTTTTGGGCGTTAAAATATAAAAATCATGAACAAAAGGTGAAGAATTTGCTAATGGTAAATACACTGTTTAAATCGTTTCTTAAAGTGAGCATGGCCCAACCATTATTTTTCCTATTTTTGCCCAATTTGAATTCTTTTTTTAGCTAGTAAATGCCAACAGATTCTAAAAAGAAAACCCCCCAAACAACTTTAAGGTACTTCATACATTGAATAGTAGTTATGTTGGCATTTATTAATTTCTTTCCAAATGCTGCCAACATTTTTCTATAAATCTATTTAGTTTTTGAGTAGATAAGCAGTCACAAGGCTCAAAATTTAAACAGTAAAAATGGGATACAGACAGTATAAAGTCTTTATTCTACATCCTCCTTCTAAGTATATTCCCTTCTGGTAGGCAGCCAACTCTTTCATTTCTTAGGTATCCATCCAGATATATTTTATAGCTACACAGGCAAATGTACAAATATATCCCTCCATCCTTTTAACACAAATGTTAGCATGCTTTATAACTGTTCTACATTGTTCTTTTGTTTTTCCAGTTAGTGATAATATTTTCAAGCTCTTACAGTATCAGTATAAATGGAACTTTTCCCTTTGTTTCCAGTCTTTTGCTGTTACAGTCAGTGCTGCCATGAATACATTCTTACACATATTGCTTCCTCCATGCAAGTATATTTTTAGCAGGGTTGGAGGGTTTATGAATTTTTTATTTTGGTAGATATTGCAAATTCACTCTCCATGAAAATTATTCTAGTTTACACTCCCTCTAGTAACCTATGAATGTTTCTCAAAGCTTTGCTATCAGAGTGTTGTCAAACTTTGGATTTTTGCTAGTTCCGGAGGTAAGAAATGGAATCCTGTGGGTAAAAAGAAATTATTCTACTTAGAGTGGACTTCATACGGACATATTTCTGGCTGATCAGAGCCCCCTGGATATTTATTAAAAAGAAGAGTTTCTGAGTTCTTCTACAAAATCTGTGTCAGCCTGGGAAGCTATTTTTAACTAAGAATCCCCAGGTAATTCAGATCTGATGATTAGCAAAGTTTGAGAAACATTGTTCTGGAGGACTGTTTAGGACTTTATCAAATTGTATTCCTCAACACCATATATCAACCATCTGGAATGCTTACCATCCAGGTTTAATGGATACTTTTTATTTTTATTTTTTACATTTTTTAGGTCATTTTATGAATAATTTGCAGAAGTGAAAATAAGGAGATAAACACAACTTTACTAGAAATTTTAATAAGTTTTAACAAAAGAAACCCAAATTATTCTAGATTTTCCTTGTTTGAACATATGTATAGCTGAAATGGACATCTTTGAATTCAGGTATTGCTCATCAGCTGTCATGCAGTGTATTTTTGTTTTTAAGATCAGTGATTTTGTAGTTCAATTTTTATCATCCCAAGATATTTTTTAGTAGCTCAGATTCAAACAAGCAAATAAACATTATTTTAACTTAAACAGTTGCAAATCATTTTTATGTAATGCCAATTATAGTAGGTGGTTTGATAAGGGATGAGGTCAGTCACTCATCAGAAAATGATGAGAATTGCCATCCCAGATGATATTATTTGGAAAACTTAAACATTGCGTTTCCTACTTGATCAGTGTTTTGCAGCTAGAAAGCAAATTAACTGTAACAGATGTTACAAAATATCACACATAGTATTTGAATTGTGGAGACCTGTGGTCTGTGTACATATTTAAAGACTCCAAAGAAGTTATCCTGATACTGCTCTGAGGGGGTTGAGGGACAAATGGGAAACTTGATTCTGAGGCAGAATAGATTTTTTTTTTTAGTCTTTTGATATTCTGAAAAAGTCCTAAAATTACCCCACCCTCCAAGAAATCTCTTAATAGAAACTGATTTGGGGATTATTTTTTAAGGTTTGAGGATGTGCTGGGTTCAGGGGCCTTTTATAAGGCACAAAGAGAGTCAAGGAGGTTGCAAAGAGTGTAAAGTGCTGCCAACCTGGTTAACGGGTAGATGGAGAACACCATTTTTTTCTCAGGGAATTAGGCCAAGGATAAAAGCAGTTATGGTCAGAAAGGTTGTTATCAGAGTAGTTGTGGATGTTATATCTTATTGATTCCTCAGCTGGCAGGAAAGCCTACAAACACAATTTTGCACTTTAATTGGTACAATTATGTGTTAGATAGGAATTGTAAGTGAGTTAAAATGAGAATTCTTACACTGATGTAGTAGTCATTCCAGAATCCTCTTAAGTCTCATTACTGGTCATTGTGAAATTCCAGTCATAATTGGAAGTGTTTTCCAAGGGTAGCTTTGTGGTTCTTTAAAATGGGCTAAGTGTTTCTGACATTTAGCATTAGGTCGGAGATTTAAATATAATATATGAGACCTAACAGAGCTCTTTGGAAAAATAATTCAGGTACTTATTATTCTTCTGGAAGGCTTTTTACATTGTTAGGTTCAAAATTACAGACTTGTCCTAAGAATATTCTGATTTTTTTCAATGAGTGTTTAATGATACCTTGTTTACTGTTATATTTAACAAATATAAGGCAGAGTGAAACTGTTGAATTGAGAAGAGCAAATAATATCAGATTGAGGTCACCTCATTGAAGAGGTGGCTCTTAAGCTAGGCCTTAAGACTGACTAGGAATTTGGAAAAGTCTTCAAAAGACATTCCAGGAAGAGAAGGCAGCATTTGCAAAGATACGGAGGTACAAAAGCACATGACCTGGGTGGCGAATAATGAGTAGTTTGTATCTACAGCATTTTAATGCTTGGAAAGAAGTTGGACGAAATTGGGTCAAGAATATCATTGAGGCATGCTTTGTGATTTAGAAAAATGGTGAGAATTAAAGGTCAACACACTTAAAGCAAACCTGGAACTAGATTTTTACAAAAGTGAAATTGGGGTGTTATTTCTTATCTTAAAAAATTCTGAAAATCCATTTTAGGGCAGTGGAGGTAGATAACCACTCATAAAGTTCACCCAGTTCATTTTTCATGAGGACAGTAGGATTAATAGTTAGCTAGTGATAAAACCAAAACTAGAATTAGTACTAGGCAGTTGGGTAACACTCTTTCCATAGCATTTTAGTTTTTGATATTGCAACTTGTTTTACATTTTGTTTATTATATGTTATTTGCATTTTGTTTGTATTGATGAAATGGTTAAAAGTTTAAATAAGGTAAAAATTTGTGTTTAAAGGAAAGGCTGCTATGAAATTGATCCTTTGCCAAAAAGATAATCAACTTTGATCTCCTGGATGAATACAATTAAGTCTTATTTGATTGTGCTTTCTTAAGAATTTGTATTTTATTCACAAACCTTGCTCCCTTAAGAACTGTACCAGGTCACTTCTCTTCTTCATTTTACTGGTCTTTACAGTGAGAGAAATTAGGCAAGAATAAGAAATAAAAGGCAGGTGATGTCAATAAGAAAATGCAAAAGGAAGTACAGATCTTCTTTCCCCCTACAGAGATACTAATTCAGTAACAATAAACATACCAATTGCCTTTGTGAGGAGTCTAGAATTTACCGTGTTTCCCTGAAAATAAGACAGGGTCTTATATTTATTTTTCCTCAAGAAGATACCCTAGGGCTTATTTTCAGGGGATGTGTTTTTTTTTTTTTTAAGTACGGTACAGCAATCTACATTTATTCAGATATAGTTAAGTCATCTTCTTCGGGAACATCATCATAGTAAAAGGGCAGCCACAGCTTTCCTTCTTCCCCCTGGGAACACACAATAACTAAAGCAGAGCGTCCTGCTCCTCTCTTCACTGAGCAGACTTTCCCCTCAAAGCCTCAGCTTGCAATACTTACAGGATGGCTGGGACCTGATAGGAGAGCTGACCTTTTTGGTGGGGCTGCCCGCACCTTTCCGGTCACCTCTGAGATAGTAGCTGTCACGGTGGGGCAGATGAGAAAGGTTGCTGATCTTCTTTACCACTCTAGGAAGAAATGCATGGATTGTGCAGATAATGCTGCGTAGCCACGCCCATCACTAGATCTTATTTTCTGGGTAGGGCTTACATTGTGCAAATGCTTAGAAATCCTGCTAGGGCTTATTTTATGAGTAGGTCTTATTTTGGGGGAAACATGGCCGTTAAGAGGCCCTTGCACCCTCAGTCAGCACTAAACCAGCTGCATTGAAGCTTGTAGGAAAATTCATGCCACTTGCTCACCATAGTTCACCCTGACTTAGCATGCCATGAGTGGTAGGAGAAAAGTCCAAACTCCTGGCTTCTCCCTGGGAAGGGAAAGAGAAAGCTGAAACATACGTATGACATTCAGATTTTTCATAGGTCTGCCTAAGGGACTGGTTTCTATTGTGCCTGTATATAAGCAGTAACAAGAAAGGTACCAGGTTGGGGTCCATTGCAAACAAAGTTAACAATGACTTTAGACTACCACACATTCACCATACTCCCCTTGGCTCAGCATGGAACCAAGTGAAAGAATGGAAAAGATTTCCATGCAAATGGTAACCAAGAGAGCAGGGTGGCTATACTTACATCAGACAAAATAGACTTTAAGTCAAAAACTGTCCTGAGAGACAAGGACATGATATAGTAATAAAAGGGTCAATTCATGAGGAAGAAATAACAATTATAGATATATGTGCACCCAATATCAGATCACTGAAATATATGAAGGAAATATTGACAGAACTAAAGGGAGAAATAGCAACATAATCATAGGAGGTTTCAATATGACATTTTCAATAGTAGATGGAACATTCAGGTAGAACGTAATATAAGAAAACAGGACTTGAACAATACTGTAGACCATAAGGTCCTAAAGACATATGCAGAACACTTCAGCCAGCACAGCTGAATACACTTTCTTCTCAGGTACACATAGAATATACATTCTTCTGGATAGAGTATGTGTTAGATCACACAAGTCTTAACAAATTTAAGAATATTGGAGTCATGTGATGTATCTTTTTCAACCAACAAGGAAATGAAACTAGATATCAGTAGCAGTGGAAAATACACAAATATTTGAAAATTAAACAGCATGCTCTTCTTTTGGTCAGATAAGAAATTAAAAGGAAAATTTAAAAATATCTTGAGACAAATGAAAACAAAAACTCAATACACCAAAACTTATGGAATGTAGCAAAAGCTGTTCTAAGAAGAAAGTTTATAATGATAAGCACCTCCATTAAAAAAGAAGATCTCGAGCTAACTTTATATAATACCTTGAGTAACAATCAAAAAGAAGAGCAAATTAAGAACAAAGCAGAAGGAATGAATTAATAAAGATTAGAGTTGAAATAAACCAAATAGAGAGTAAAAAAACAAAATTAAGAGTTAGGTTTGTTTTAAATTAAGATCAACAAAATTGACAAACTTTAGACTACAAACAGAAAACTCAAAATCAGAAAATGAGGAGACATTCTAACTGATGCTACAGAAATAAAAACAGAAAAGACTAGTATGAACAGTTATACACTGAAAAATTGGGTAACCTAGAAGAAGTGCATAAATTCTTAGAATCATACCAGCTGGCAAAATTGAATCATGAAGAAGTATAAAATCTGAATGGACCTGTAATTATATAGTACTATTAATAGTAAGAAGATTGAATCTTTATTCAAAATTCTCCCAACAAAGCAAAACTCAGAACCAAATGGTTTCACGGGGAAAATCTACCAAACTTTTAAAGAATTGTCACCAGTCCTTCTCAAATGCTTTCAAAAAATTAGAACAATTCCAAAACTAATTTTATGAAGCCAGCATACCCTGATACCAAAGACAAACAAACCATAAGAAAAAAAAGCTACAGACCCATATCCCTGATGATCATAGAACAGAAATCCTCCACAAAATATTAGCAAACCAAATTCAACAGCACAGTAAAAGGACCCTACACCGGGGTTTATCTAAAAGAATTGAAAACAGGATCTTGAAAAAGAAGGAAATCCTTTTGTGTGTTATAATATGAATGAACCTTAAGGATATTATGCTAAGTGACATAATCCAGTTACAGATGGGTAAATCCCACATGATTACACTTAGATGAGGTATCTAAAGTAGTCAAATCAGGAGAAGCAGAAAATAAAATAGTGATTGCCAGGGTTTGTGGGGAAGAGAAATAGGAAATTGTTCAGTATATGTAGAGTTTCAGTCATGCAAGATGAAAACATTATAGAACTCTGTCATATACAATATGCATATAGTTTATCAGTACTATACTCTTAAAAATTTGTTTAAAGGGTGGATTTCATTTTTATATATGTGTGTGTAACTACATAAAAAAAAAAAAAACAAACTAAAAGGCATCCAGATTGGAAAGGAAAAGTAATGTTAACTCTATTTCCAGACTACTTTATCTTATATATGGAACTTACAGTGAACTCACACACACACACAAAAAAAAAAACTGTTAGAAATAATAAGTTCACCAAGGTTCAAGGATACAAGGTTAGTGTACAATTGTACATTAAAATACAAAATCAATTGTATTTTAATGCCCTAGTATTGAACAATCTGAAAATTTAATTAAGAAAACAAATTAATCATAAAGCATAAATAGGAAGCAGTTTAACAAAGGAAGTGCAAGACTTGAAAACAAAAATCATTAAAAGAACCTAAAGAAGATCTAAATAAATGAAAAGACATCTCACATTCATGGGTGTAAGAATTATACAAATTCAGTGAAATCCTGTCAAACTTCCATCTGCTTTTTTTCTCCTTATTTTGCAGAAATGGATAAACTGATCCTAAAATTCATATTGAATTAAGGGGACCCAGAATAGCCAAAACACCCTTGAAAAAGAAGAATAAAGTGGGAGAATTCACTTCCTGATTTCAAAACTTACTACAAATGTACAGCAGTCAAGACTATGTGGTATTGGTATAAGGGTAGACATATAGGTCCATAGAATATAATTGAGATTCTAAAAATAAATCCATACATTGGTGATCAGTTGACATTTTAACAAGGGTGCCAAGACAATTCAATATGGAAAAAAAAAATACTCTTTTCAAAAAATGGTGTTAGAACAACGTGATTTCCACATGGAAGAAAATGAAGTGGGATCCTGCCTCACACCATAAACAAAAATTAACATTAAATAGATCAAAGACCTAAATGTAAGAGTTAAAGATACACACTTCTTAGAAGAAAACATCTAAAGCATAAGCAACCAAGAAGAAATATAGATTCAACTTTATCAAAATTAAACACTTTGTGCTACAAAGGGCACTGTAAAAAAAAAAAGGATAAGACAGTCTGAAGAATAAAAAAGTATTTGTAAATCATATCTATCAGGATCTATGTTATGGTCTGTTTATGCCCCAATTCATGCGTTGAATCCTATAATCACCAAGGGGATGGTATTAGAAGGTGGGGCTTTGTGGCCTTTAGGATTAGTGCCCTTATAAACAGACTTCAGAGAACAGCCATGTCTCTTTTACCATGTGAGGAAAGGTGCAGAGAAAAGATGCCATATATGGCACAGGAGATGGGCCAACAGGATGCCTAATCTATGGGTACCTTGTTGGACTTGCTAGCATCTAGAACTGTGAAAAATGAATTTCTATTGTTTGTAAGGTACCCAGTCTATGATAATTTGTTTTTGCAGCCCAAATGAACTAAGAATCTAATTTCTAGAGTATAAGCAGAACTTTTAACTACTCAACAAAAAAGACGAAATAACCCAATTAAAAAAAGGGCAATGGATTTGAAGACATTCTGTTATAGATAGAAGAAGATACATAGAAGTATATATTAATAGTAAGTTGAGCAAATGGTCAATGAGCACATGAAAAGATGCTCAACACCATCAGTCACTAGGGAAATGCAAATCAAAGCTACAATGGGATGCTGCTTACAACCCACTAGCCTGGTTGTAATCAAAACTACAGCCAATAACAGTGTTGGTGAGGATAGAGAGAAATTGGAACCCTGATATGGTACTGGTGGAAATACAAAATAGTGCAGTCACTTTGAAACCAGTTTGACAGTTCCTCAAAAGTTAAAGGTTACCATATGACCCAGCAATTACACTCTTAGCTGTATTCTAAGAGATTTAAAAGGTATATATTTATGCAGAAACTTAGATAAATCTGTATATTGTTTGCTAATTCAAATCCTCATTAGCATTTTAACAGTATTATTTGTAATAACTAAAAAGTTCAAATAACCTAAACGTCATTAGCTGATGAATGCATAAATATACTGTGGCATATACATACAATGGGATGATATTCAGCTATCAAAGTGTAATACTAATACATGCTCCAACATGAATGAACCTTGAAAATACTATGCTATATGAAAGAAGCCAGACACAGAAGGCCACATATTATATGATTCTACATTAAATGTTCAGAATAGGTAAATCCAGAGGCTAGAAGTGCTATGTGCAGTTGCCTTGAGCTGGAGAGAGGGTGGAACAGGGAGGCATGAGGTCTCTTTTTGGGAGGATGAAAATATTCTAAGATTAGATGGCATTAGAGATGATCATATAAGTCTGTGAATATAGTAAAACATTTAATTTTATACTTTAAAAGAATGAATTTTATAATGTGAATAATATCAATTTTTAAGAAAAGAACTATCATACACTGTACAACCAGGAGGAAGAGAAATTATACAGTGGTTTTAACAGTGAAAGTTGAATATAAACAATTCCTACCTGTAACATGATTGAAGAAATGGAGATTGGCTAGTAAGAAGTCAAAAGAATGTTAAAGAATACAGTAAGAGCAGCAAATTCCAAGGCTGACATAGAGTGCCTTGGGAAGAGACTGCCCTCCTCCTGCGGTTGAGATCCAGGCCTTATTGGAGAGGGGGCACTGGATGGTGGAGAAGTAGGTTGCCAAGATACTGTGCTGGTGGAACTTACTGGAAATTCTCCCATTGATGTGCTGAACCTTGGAATTCACTATAAAGCTACATGAAGGGGTGTCCAGGAAACCTGTGGGGAGATCCTTGCTGGTGGCCTTCTGCTGCAAAGGTGCTCAGCAGAGTGCTAGGGTGTGCTGCTGGGTGCTAGGGGGAAGCTGCTCCCTGCAGGACACAAGATGGCTAGAGAAGCAGGCACTATGGGAACACATCAGAACCAGGAAGAGAAAAACCCCTTCTTCTAGTGTACCTCCAGCTGCCTCTACTGACCAGGCTTAACATCATGCCAGCTGCAACAGAGCAGTATCGAAAGGGCTCAGCTCTATTTTGGGAGAGGGAGCAATAACGATTAGATTGGTCAAGAACCAGCTGGCTCAAGAATCTTACATTAAACCCTATGCCAGTTTAGCATATATTCTGTTTTATTGGGTTGAGTGGAAGTGCCAGGTGTTCATCTCAAAGTAGTACAATCTATAGTAACTAAAAAATATTGAACAATATAGAAGTCTTTAAAATGAGAAGTAAAAATTTTCTTTTTATTCCTCATTCTTTTACCTTTATCTAATGAAGATAAAACTATTGGTAACAGTTTGTATATTTTTTATATACACATATACATATTTTTTTTTCTTAGTGGTAGAGGTTTTATGTATTGATACTGCATATGATCTACTTTTAAGTTTTTGTTGTTAGAAGGAAACGTATCTGCAGTGCCTAAGAGCATTGTACTAAGGGTAATTTCCTTATCCTGGCTTTGGAGGGAGACCATTGGAGGGCCGGACTATAATTTAAAAAAAACTGTGAACAAATTCCTATGCACACCGCACATATCTTATTTTGAAGTAAACAAACGGGCAAAACACCCGCATGTATCCCGTGGGTCATAGTTTGAGGACACCTGGCCTAGATGTTTCATTTTTTTTTTAGCATGTTTTGCAATATAAATGTTTCTTATTATGTTAAACAGTTGTAAATTTGTATGTGTATGTTGCTGGCTTTGTATACTATTTAAATTTCAATGACATTTGAGTAATAGAACTTTTTTTCTCTCTTTAGAAAAACACTGCAAAAATGTCCCTCTATCCATCTCTTGAAGACTTGAAGGTAGATAAAGTAATTCAGGTATGTTTAAATACTTTAAAAAAATATGCTGTAACATAAATTCTACTTATAGGTGAAGTAAAGCATGAAACTAAATACAGGTATATTTGTTCATTTTTATACTTTATAAACCTTTTCTTCAGTTTTATTAATTGCAGACAAAAGTTACAGAAAAACTTACAATTCTCTTTCATTTCACTGTGAACCATAACAGGCCTGGGATATTACTTTTTTAAAATTTGACTTAAACTCTTGAAAGGTGGCTTGATTTTTCTGACAAAAATGTAAATCATATACAACATATTTAAGTTGATAAAATATACTCCAGCCTTTTAGATATGGATAATGTTGTGTAAAATAATTTTGTGCCTCTTCTTTGAAGTTAAAAATTATACAAATGGTGGAGTACATGCTACTTTTAGAAGAGTAGTATAGTAAAAGCACAAGGAAAGTGTAGTGATTTCTTCCTTGAGCAGCAGGCGTTTCACTTCTTTACTCTCTAAATGACTATGTTAGAGATTATAGTATTTCTAATTTCATTGAGTCAGAAATGTTTATAGTCCTTCATATAAGTATTAGCTTTGAAGACAAATGCTTCCGCTTAAGAAAGTGGGATTGGGATCAATTTTGACTGCTTTGGAAATTTTTAGTGATCTTTTCAACGGAGATTTTTTAAAGAGACAGGGTCTTACTCTGTTGCTTGAGCTGGAGTGCAGAGGCACGATCGTTGCTCACTGCAACCTTGAATTCCTGGGCTCAAGCTATCTTTCCACTTTAGTCTCCTGAGTAGCTGGGACTACAGGCATGCACCACCATGCCTGGCTAATCTTTAAAAATTTTTTTATAGAGAAAATAAATAGCCTGGCTATATTGCCCAGGCTGGTCTCAAACTCCTGGTGTCAAGCAGTCCTTCACCTCATCCTCCCCAAGTGCTGGGATTACAGATGTGAACCATTGTGACTGGCCTGTAACTGGAGATAATTTGTAGGGTGTAATGAACTCATCTGTTTACAGTTTGCTTTCAACTTGATCTCTTACAAGCTCAGAAACTCTGTAGTTGCTGTTTATTCTTTTAATTTGACAAGATAATCCAAAAACTCATTATCCTAAAAATCATTTTACTTGAGGCCCTGACCTCAGTTTACCCTAATTTCTTAATAAGTGATTAATCAGCAGAAAAAGTTTATTACAGACTTATAAGAAGTCTTAAGCAAAACTGAAGAGTACTGGTGTTTTACACAAAATGTTGGCCTTACTGAGGTGAAAGGAAAAAGTAGAGCAATACTAGTAACATACATGTGGCTGAGGTATTAACCTTGTAGCAGTGGATGAGCAAATTATTATATAGAGGGAATCATGAACAACATGGACTTATTTTCCATCATAGATCTAGTATGGGCATTAAAATGTGGTTTATAAAATCTTTGAAATCTGAAGTTTGGCTGCTAAGGCTTTGGATACCTCAAGGTTTTAAGTGGCCTGTTCAGTCATTTTGAAATGTTTTATCATTTCTTTCTTCAGTATTGTCAGTGTTTTTCTCATGTGGTATAACCACGATTAACCATTAAGCCATTAATATGACATCAGTATGTTAACTGATAAGAATTTGCAGACAGATCTGAAAGAATATATTCTTTTTTATTCTTTTGTTAGCTTTTTATGGGAATTAAATTAACCATAGTTAGCTTTGAGCAGAAGCTTTTGATTTTGAAAACAACAGAGGAGTCGATAGTGACAAATGTTGGATTGAAAAATAGAGGACGACAATCTACATCAAGCTGACCTCTTTAAGGAGACGCAAATTACATGCATATTTCCATTAAAGGACTTTTTATGTTCAGAGCAGAAAATAGCGATAGAATATTGAGTAAGGAAAGGGAAACATTTTTTCCTTCCCCACTGGATTTAACACATTGCCACACTAGAAAAATAATTTTTCCTTGGGGCCATGGTCTTTTATTACAAAAAGAGAATAAAAACTTCAAAAACAAAATCATCCTTTCTAATTTAATGAAAAATGTGTTATTTTTTTATTGTTTTCTGTGTGTGAGTTATATGCAACTTAAAAAATAGTTCTCACAGCTCCCTAAGTGAAGAGACATGTGAGTAACATGCTTCACAAGGCCCTGGACTCAAAACTAGCATGAGTTAAATACAGCTCACATGGCGGTTAATGTGTTAAAAATATTCCTAATTGACATTAAATTCTTGGACTTTATTTTTTTTGCTTCATTTTCTAAGGTGAATTTCACTTATGTTTGTTTTTATCCTTTTGCTTCCCCTAAAAAGGTGTTATGGAAGAAGATAGTGTTTATTTTCTCATTTGCTAGCCTTTTGCACCACAGCAAAGCTAAATTATATTTATAGCAGTGAATTTTTTGTAAACTATTCGACAATGGCTGATAGGCTATGGTTTTCAGTATCATATGAACCTTTCTGTCTATTCCAAATCCTAACAGGAGCCTCTATATATAAATTAAGCTTTTAAGGAACAATGATATACAGAACCAGAACTTATAATTTTCCTGATATTGGGAGCAGAATTTGACAGAAGTGACTCCACAAAACATGTTTCTCCACATGCTTTCTGTAAATGGCAAAGCAACACACCCTGGCAGTGACCACTGTTCCTTGGGGCACTACCCCCACCATTCCCCTTTTTTTTAATAGTCAGATTTATAAGTAAGTTTGAAGTAGTTACCTACACTTAATGGCATATAATACTTAAACCCTTATTGTCACATCCTTCTTTAGTTTTATTTTTACTACAAATTGCATAATTAAATTTATATAACTTTGCATAGAGCTTTCTATTATGTATGTTCTTCAGCATTCTTTGGATAAGCACAATAGCAATGAAAGAATAAGAAATAATAGCTACTATAAAAAGGTATATTTTAAATTAATAAGCTATGTTTTAGAGCAGTTTAAGATTGACAGCAAACTTGAGCAGAAAATACAGTATACCTTTGTCCTCACACATGCACAATATCTGCCCCAGAGTGGTAGGTATGTCGCATATCTTATCACCCAGAGTCCATAGTTTACATTAGGGTTCAAGCTTGGTATCATATGTTCTGTTTTTTTGACAGATGTATAATGACTTGTATGCAGTCATGTGTTGCTTAATGACAGGGATGTGTTCTGAGAAATATATTGTTAGGCAATTTCATCATTGTACGAACATCATAGAGATACTTACACAAAATCTATTTGACGTAACCTACTGTATACCTAGGCTGTAAGATAGAGCCTCTTGCTCTAGGCTGCAAACCTGTACAGCATGTTACTATATGGAATATCGTAGGCAGTTATAACACAATGATAAATATTTGTGTGTCTTAACATATGTCTAAACACAAATGGTAAAGTAAAAATACAGTATAAAATATAAAAAATGGTAAACTTGTATAATGGAGGTTTCAAGATTAGAAGTTGCTCTGGGGAAGTCAAGTGCTCAGTGAGCGGTGAGTGAATGTGAAGGCCTAGGACATTACTGTACCTTACTGTAGACTTTATAAGCACTATACATCTGGGCTATACTACATTTATTAAAAATATTTCTTCAATAATAAATTAACTGTAGCTTACTGTAATCCTTTACTTTATAAACTTTAACTTTTTAACTTTTCTGCAATAACAGCCTAAAACACAAACACATTGTACATGTGTACAAAAATATTTTATTTCTTTATATTCTTGTTCTGTAAGGTTTTTTTCTATATTTAAAATTTTTAGTTTTTTTTTTTCTTTTTAAACTCTTTTTGTTAAAACTAAAACACAAAAATATGCACTAGCCTAAGCCTACACGGGGTCAGGATCATCAGTAGCACTGTCTTCTGCCTCTAATCTTGTCCCACTGGAAGGTCTTCAGAGGCAGTAACACTCATTGAGCTGTCATATTCTATGTGATAGCAATGCCTCCTTCTGGAATACCTCCCAAAGGACCTGA